AAGAATTGGTCATGTGACTTGCAAAACTTGGAGTTATAACAATCTTATATTAAAACGAAGTATGCCAATATACATGTTATTGTATCTAGAATGAAATAATGTTTTGTAACACAATACCATGCCAGTTTGCATGCCTGGCCTTTCATGTTTTAGTTTTAGAACTATTACAAGTAGATCAAAAAAATAAAATGATACAGTATGTGTAATCCCATGTATATTCAAATTATATGCCCTCAATTACTCTTTGTATTATGGATGCTCATTGGATTATTCATGGCCACATGATATGAAATAGAATTACTAATTTCCTCGAAAACCCAAATCCTTGCTACCAGGGAAGATGAAAAGTACAAATGACCAGTTAATTAGATCATGTGAGCAGTCAAAAGTACCCTTTATCTTCCCTGCTACCAGGTCTTATAGGGGTTTGAATGGCCAAATGCAATAGAAATGCATATACGAAGCTGTCATCATTAGATGTTGAAACTGAAAGACTACTTATTTGTTTCTTCAAATAGAGTACATTTAGGTTATATACTAGATATAGTAATCAAAACAAATAGTAACTGTCATATTCTGCACTACATTGCTCAAAGGCAATTACTGTCTGTATACTATTGAAATCTCTTTCAAAATGATGTTTTATAGTTTGTGGAAAAAAGCTAAATCTATTTAAACTAGCTTTAACTTTTACTGACCATACACTATATCAATAAAGAGTTATCTTTATGTTAGTATAGTCCCTTAAAACACTTATTTTATTTTATTTTCATCTATGATTTACTTTGGGCTTTTCACTGAACATCTGGGATCTTTTTAGTTATTTTATTACTAGTATGTTTTTCAGATTTGTCCTTTCTTTTGCATTTTTGGGATCATTGTTTTTAGATCATCTACATTTTATTTTGGATAAGTAACAAATTGGTTCAATTTCTTTACAAAGAGCCACTCTAAGTCTCCACTTCTACAATTGCTTCAATTCCCAATTGTACTCCACAGAGTAGCAAACAACAGAAAATGAATGGATAATGATAACTGCATCCCAATGAACAAAATGTGATTACCTAAATCGAGGTTTCATCACTTTCATTAATCTAAAATGAATTAGAAATTATTTTTCTATTTTCAAATTTCTTCCATGTGCATGTAATAAAAATTGGTTTTGTCTTAGGCCCTAAGGATCTGAAACCTGCTGGTCAAAATGGAATTACGGACCAGTTGCATTGTTATTCTCCTATACCCAGTGAAAAAATCAACTGGTCTGTATCAAAAATAACCTGATAATGACCAGCGGACCGGCCCTTAGGGGCTACATTGTAATGTGCTGGGAGGTTTAGGCTACAGGGTTTATACTGAGGGAAATATGTGGGGGACCGTACTGGCATCATTGGTTTCAATGCATTGTATTTCTGCCTTAGTTTCAAAGGCAATAAATTCTTTTTGAAGGGTGTCCTGAGATTCCAAAATTAAGAAATAATTGTACTTATTTGAGAAATTGATTTTAAAGTTTTATAAATTGAATTTTCTTTATTTTATTAAATAATATTCTTTGGTTTTTGAAGATTTTTTTACAAAGCAAAACATTATTTTTCATTCTAGATACAATAACATGCATATTGGCATACTTCGTTTTAATCTAAGATTGTTATAACTCCAAGTTTTGCAAGTCACATGACCAATTCTTAGAGAGTTGATTGGTTGAAACAGTTGATATCAGATATGACAATTTGAAATTAGAAATAAGCTGTTATTCCGGTGGGAAATTGTATCAACTCCATTTCCATAGTTTTAAAAAAGGATCTTGTAAATTGTTTCAAGGTATGATATTTCATATAAGATATCTCTAGGGTGAGACCAGGTGACATACAAAAAATCAAGTTTCACATAGCAATACTAAGTAAGATACAGACCTCTAAACTTTCAACCCTTGATTTCTCAGTTCCGTAAAAATGTGAGATAGTACAAAGTTATTCTCATGCGACGATGTGTACTTTTATAAAGAGTTTAAGGGAGGTCGATGTTGATGCTTCCTGAAATTTGTAGAAAATGATTGTTAGATATATCCAGTAAAAATATATCGAATCCTATCAATAATCGACATGCTGATTCAAACAACACTACAGAGTAATGTTACCCAAAATGGTAGCAATCTATCCACTAGTTGCTGAGAAATCTGAAGAATATGTAAAGAAGTGATTAAAATAAAAAAAACTACAATTTTTACCTCAAAATTATTAGCTCCAGAGTCGATTTCTTCCTCAAGACACGACCCTCCAGACAAGCCCCTGTGATTCAAACAATATGAGAGATAATATTTGGAAGAAGGCAAGTGGATAAATGATACGAGCAATACAAACGAAATGACCAACAAAACTTGGTACAAATATTTGATAGAAACGAAGATATACAAGCGATACGAGCAACAATGTTCGGAACGAAGTGATACAAACGGTACGAACGACAAAGAAAGAGACGAAGTAATACAAAGTATAGGAACAACAAACGTTGGTAGAAACGAAATGATTCGAACGCAAGAAGCAAATATTTGAAAAAAACGAAATGATATGAACGATTCTAGCAGCAGAATTTGGTTGAAAGAACTGATTCAAACGATTCGAGCAACAATATAGAGTAAAGACGTCCATGTATTGCATGCTTTTAACAGTCAACCCTTGAGTACGAGCAAACTTCATGTTCAATTGTGAAAAACGAACTTTGTGTTGACTGCATTTGAAATGAATTTGAAGGAAGGATAGTGATCTTGGACCCGGATTCTGCTTTTGATAAAGTCAGACGACGTGTAAAATAATGGTACAATAATTGTACGCCATACAATAATGGGGTGGTAATAATTGCATAGATGCCGATTTATACGAACAATCTATTCTAATATTGTCAGCACGTCAATAGAATGATGACTCTTTGGTATCATTACAAAGTGATTGAGCACGAAGGTCGGGGGGTGCTAGAAATGATGATATGACACGATTTTATTTCACGATTATGTTGCATTCTATGCACGTGAATATTATGTGCTTCACAATTAGCGTATCATCTGATTTTGTGAATTGAATTGAAATAATGAACAGCTAATAATGTATATTGTACTCTTCAATATGCAAAGGAATGGATGTTTTAAAATAAATGCAATGCAATACATACGAATAATGCAAGCAAAACAATACAATATACTATTCGTAAAATACATTTACAATACGGTGCAATAATAAAATCGAATGTCACCTGATTTACTCAACTTACAATGGAATGAAAGTTATACAATACAATGTAATACTTGATCAAGTGAACACCATCTTATACAGTTAACATTAATAGCACCGGTACAGGTTATTTTTCAAGGGTTCCCTTAACGGCGACTCCATTTCCTTTTTTTCTACCTTGATTTCAGCGCGCTCATCTTTAATTCTGAAAAACGAGAGGGTACAGTGAACTAGTACAATGAATTTGGCATAATTGTGATCCTTATTTGTACATTGACATTTTTATGACGCGTAACGTTAATGCCCCGATCACATTTTATTGCAACCATATGGTTTGATATTGCTACGGCCAATAGCAATCCTACGGACGCCGTTTAATTTCTACGGTCCCTTGCTACAGCAGTCACACATGCTACCTTAGCCGCGTGGCGTTTTTAGTTCTGCATACATTTAACAGGCGAGTGTCGTCCGTTATATCTCAAAATAAAATAATTTCACCATTGAAGACATTTGGTATACGGTAATGGTATGGAAATATCTTTCAATGAAGATTGGAGAGCCATTGTGTATCGAATTCAATTAAGCCATCTTACGTTATTGAGTAGCTTGGTTCTCAATCAAAGTCAAGATCGAAATTTACGTATTCCAGGCCAAAAGTACGCTCAGAATTGAATTACAATTGCAGCTTTGCAAGTATCATAGAAATTAACAGAAATTGACATTTCTGCCCATCCTGCATAATTTGTCTTAAATGTTATGATACTCGCAAAACTGCAGTTCTTATTCATTCTCAGTCTTTCGTTTGAGAGGCTCTTTTACATAAACCTTACTTACCATAGTTGTATGTATACATGCGTGGCTTGTACCGTCATATTGTTTAAAAAATCATTTCGAGACAAAATGGAAATATTTAATTATTCATGATCAATTAAAATCAATGATCATGTTTTTTCTGAGTTACCAATAAATTTCTCAGAATAAGTTTTATTAATCAATTACCAATACCTCACTATCAACACGTAAACGGAATGGGTTAGCGTTAAGTGCAGATCCTTACCATTTTTTTGAATTTCCGTTTACGTAACAAAAGTGAGGTTGTCACAAATGAATATGCGCAGTACATGGCAAAATATGTTAGGTCATCTCGTATTTTTTTGAACTGATGAAATTAATTTATTTCGATTATTTTTTGTATAACGCATGGAAACTGACTTTAAAAAGTGAGCAATGTCATTAGTATTGTGATAATAACGTCCCTTATACCTATTTATTACAGGTCGTGTAGACCATTGTTGCCCGATTTATAGCAAAAACATTGACTTTTGCACGTTGGTGATGATGCTCCTTTTTTAATAGATCTCATATCTTAGAAGGGTATCAGTTCAAAAAAATACCAGATGACCTAACATATTTTGACATGCAGTGCGCCTATTTATTTGGCAATTCAGTTGTGAATTTTCTCTTGAAAAAATGAATCTTCCAAATTTGTTGAGTTTTCTTGCAGAAATCGCCTAATCCCCCCCCCTCCATCATTTTTGTACGATCACCGGGCGTGAAATAGGGGTATGGCATTTTGTAATGCTCATAAAATCTTTTTAAGGCATTTTAGAAGAATTTCCTTGGAGTATCTACCCTCACTAACCTCTTTTTCACCTCAATAGCCATCCTCTCTTTGACGTGTTTTTCTCCAATTCGCATTTCCCCAACTTTACACCAAGCTGATTGTATGCAAAAAAATGCATTCAACATGTTTAATATGATTGATATTTCGTTCATAACCACTGGACCAAATCTTATTGTTCTCTTGTCACATAAAACATTCCTTAATATCATTTCCCAATATCAGTATTATTCGGTTAATTTTTTGCCAATTCGCAATTAAGAGTAGATGTTAAAAGTGGTTCTCACTGAAAATGCAGATATCAGATTCTTGTACAACACGCATAAAGATACTCATCTTTCGGCAAAATTCTTTTGAGCACTTTAAGTTAAAAATACGAGTTATGGCTCAAAATTACCCACTTTATTCATTGTATCCATAAGATGCCAATCTCGATTATTGAGATCCATATTAAGTTCATCATTTGACATTAAATATAACTTTTATCAAAATTAATCTTTGCTCAATATATTATTCTCTAGATCTTTTCAATAGATTATTCCAAAATATTTCTCCCATGATATCATAGGCATATTTACTATTTTTGTGTATTGTTATTATCATAAAATGATATATAAATATTTTTGTAACTTATATCGAAAAGTAGCAAGTGTTCTTTTATTTTTATACTCGAGAAAAAGTACTATATCTAGTAATAGCAGTGGATACATGCAAGTCCGTTACCTTGCACATGTAGGTACTCATTATCTATTAATTTGTTAATTTCCTGTAAATTGCACTTTTGTCATCGATGTCTTGCTGAAGCCCGTCAGATATCGCCTCGTGCTTTGCGAAGTGGTATGATACAACTAGATTTCTTTGCAGAGGCGGAGCTCAACGATCCTGGAAGTTGCAGAAACGTATTTGAAAAGCACTTTCTAAATTCCCTATTCGTGCTTGCGTATAACACAAAGTTAAGAGCAAAATTGAGCACCAAGCACGTGTCAATACTGATTCTCATGAGCTGAAACTTGTCGCAGTAAAGTTCGTCCCTGTCAATGGTCAACATGAAGAAGAACCAAACGGCAGATGGTGACTGCGACAAAATAAAGAAAAAGTTGATCGTGAGTAGAGTAATCGTTATTCGCTCGTTTCTAATTGCCCGGGAACTTCTTCGTCGGTTATAGCCTGGGCAATGATTCTCATATGTTTTCAATGCCTTTCTCCTGAGTGTAAGAATCAAAGAAATACTCAAGATGAAACACACAAGCCATGGAATGACGATGTTAAGAACAACCTTTGTCGGGTAATACGTTGTTTGAAAAACCCGACTGTAATATAGGTCTGTAGAGGATACATAGCTTATCGTTTTGTTTCCGTCGTTAAATGTCGCAATTCGTTTTTGAAGAAAATCTGGACTGTTTAGGAGAATAGCCCATATAAATATAATGCAAGACACCTTTCTAGCCTTCCGTCTTGTGCAAATCCTTAACGCCATTGTTGGTAACTGCACTGCAATAAACCTAAATACGGTCACTGACATGGCGTGGGTATTAGATGCAGTGATAAAAATGTTGGTCGGAATAGAATAAAGAGCAAAGAAAATCCTCCATGGAATAAATGGAATATCTAACCACTTTGGTGATTGTTTTTCCAACAGTTGGAACCTTTCCGAGCTGTAAAAATAAGTGTAGTAACAGAGAAGCGTCAGTAATGTTGCGGTATCAGCCACCACCATTCCGATGTAAAATATCGATGTAACATTTACCATAACTGGCCGAGTGAAAATCACTAGATTTACGATATTCAGACATATCCCGATACAGCATACTATTGGAAGTAATATTCCTCGTATATAAAACTCAACTGTCAGTCGAATATGATGCAGTTCATAAGTACATCCATCATGCAAATCAGAGGGCTGTATAGTTGTAATATTCGAGTATTCTGTTGTTCCATTTGTTAAAACCCCAACTATTGTCACGCTTGTGTTGAATTCTTGGCTCGGCCAGTCAGTGGTGTTTGTTTGGAAGTTCATACCCCTGTTGTCAATATTGCGATAGAATGTAGAATAGACCGCCCGTCTTCGTTGTGTCTCTAGGCGGCAGCTGCAAAGAATAATGCAAATATTATGGCAAAGAATACATTTAACTCAGACAAGCATTACTTATAGTTATAAGTAACAGCGCGCTATGCGGCAATAAACTATCAAACTACACTAAAATAATATTAAGCCGATAAATAATGTATGGCAGGCCAACTTGTATATTCATAGTTGCTGTTTCCATCGAAAACAAGGCATGATATATCACATTCCAGCCAATCAGAACACAGGTTACAAGGAGTGTCCGATTCCAGCCAATCCAAACACAGTATTTCATATAACTGTACTGCATTATATAACCAACAAACCACCCAAAGTCATTTGTTGAATGGTTGTCAAGGTGACAATTTGACCCTACATACAGATTGAAATTAATACTTTGCCAACTTGATCCTTCCAAAAAGTTTCATTGTAATCGTTTTTAGAATCACTGAATTTGACGACTTTATCAATTTTAGTTGGGATTTGAAAAAACTATAAATAGTATCATAATGAATATCAAGGTGTGTAACTTATACAGATCAAAAGTAGTGTAAAAAGGTCAAACCTTGCTAAACCCATGCAAAAAGGATTCTGGTTGAATTTCAATATTTTCTGTGAATACTGTAAACATTTTTTGAAAGGTGTGAGAGTTTAAGCACATGGTCCAAAAAACCGTGGGTGATTAAATGCATTCATGTTTTGTTTTTTGGCCATTGTATTCGGAACTTCCGCCCTCATTCAAACGCTGATACAAGACATTAATCGTGCTTAAAGCCATACATCTTATTTCAGACCCAAAAATAGACATGAAAAACTCAGAATAACCTCTTGCTTATCATCAATAGACTCTCATTTAGACATTCCTTTCGGTAAATAGTATCGCTTTAGAAAATAGCTCGATTAAATTATTAGAAGATATACTGAATTATGTTTAAGCTAAGATGATAAATAATAGAATATTGCAAATTTGTTCTGGACATGACGTTTACTACGAGGAACAAGTGGGATATAAAACTAGATAAAGCACTATTGATTTTATTTCAACTTATCTGTAGTTAATCAGAAGTATTTATCTTAGGATAGGACGTTGCTATATTCTGTATAGACTTTAGGAGAGCATTTGACTGCATTCATTTAGTATTCACACCGGAATAGCCTGACTACGGTAAAGTCAGATACAGTTGTCACAAATGGCGGACATAACCGTCGCTTCAATCAGATTTTCATGAATTGTATGTTTAATAGCACCTAGACTAAATTCCTTTAGAACAACAATCAATCAAAGTGTATTAATACTCATTGACCCCTGTTACACAGGCCAGTTGAAATGCTTCGTTACGAAGCAATTTGACAAAAAGCTTCGTAACAAAGGAATTTTGGGCCAGTGTAACACCTCCGCCTTCGTTGGAAAAGCTTAGTTGATAACGAAGCAATTGAGTAGAAAATTCAACGAAGGTAAGCTCCCAACGAAGCTTTTTTGGCCTGTGTAACAGGTAGCTTCGTTAGAAAATGCTTAGTTGGCGGTTTGCGGCATGCGCGTAATAAAGAGCACATTCATCATTTTGTATTAAATGAGAGGAATCGCGAGGAAAATACATGTTTTTAAGTACGTATTATTATAATGCTACGTTTTGATTAAAATAATTACCTATTTGCGTCACTGATTGACGCTAACTCAAGCCCTAAACGCCACGTACAAATGTGATTTACCGTCTTTCGTAGCATTTCATTCGATTCCCTGCCTTTCCTCGCATTGATATGACAAAAAGTATTAAATCTAAAAAACGCAGGTTTTACCGTATATGTATACGGTAGTTTTGAAACGTTTATCTGATCTATTAGAGAATAAACCTAGAATATTTAAATGTCCCTCTTTCGGCAAACTCCGTCTCAAGTGTGGAAGGGTAAACTTTTGAAATTACATAAGATATGCTTACTAAATAGAAAGTTGTGGCATACATGTTTAATATTAATTTTTTCTTGCGCCTCGAATAATTATACCTTGAATGTAATTCTAAAGCCCGTGTTCTAAAGGTGTTAATACCATGATACTGATACAATTGCTTCCCGGTGAATCACATCAGGGAATATAGCCGATTTGATTGATTCGAAAATGTCTCTCTTCAGAAATCGTATTCAACTGGCTATCGCCCCATTCTGCCATTGCAATACATGTACTTGTACTAGATAGTCGTTCCATTATTTTATTCTTCGACGATTTTAAATTGTAATTGAATTTAAACTTCATGTTTAAATATATTGAATTAATTACGTTTCAAAACTTCCGTAAAACTTCCGTAAAACCTGCTGACAAGGAACGGTGGCCAAAACTGTTTCTTGTCGACAGATATTTGCCACAGAGAGGCTGCATGTTTTAGGCCAGCCCCAAACACTATTGATGTGTCGTAAGACGATGCTTACAACTGATATTCAAGTTTCTTCCTATTTGCGCCATTTTCGAATTCAACGGACGGCTTATGGATTAACATACTAATTTATGTCAAACTCACTCAAATATGCATGGAGTATTGGCGAGACGGGTAATATTCATATTAAAATGAATTGGTCATGAAATAGTAGTTACACGCGGTCTTAACTTCGACCGTTAATTTGAATTTTTGACCTACCGGATGTTTGAAAATCAAGGATTACGAGTCTCATACTGCACCGTTTTTCTTCAAACTTGTTCCATTCAAAGCATAACAAAAATCCCTTTCTGATGGTTTTATAATATCGTATGTATTAACAATGGGTTAGGAGCATCATAAAACACGAATCAATTGATATTTTAGGTGAAATAAATATATGTGTTGCTGTGTTTGAAAATAGGTGAATGGCGTAAATTCGCCCTTTTTTAATGAATTTTGAAAACCTTTCGTCCTCCATTTTTCCACATACAACAGTAAACACATACGTTTGCGAACAAAATCAGCTATTTATTAATAAAAAACTAGAGTTTATGAGCAAAATAATCATGTATGATATATTAAAAATTGGTCTCGTATTTTTTGTTTAATGTACACTTAAAAAGTTGAAGGTAACAAAAAATGAGCAAAAAAGGTCGCTGTCGACAGATTCTATTTTTCAAACTATATGACGTCACAATATGGGACGCTTATTAGAATTCATCCTTTGAAAAAACACTTCCATTTACCTTTATCAAGACGAAAATAAAGTATAATAGTCAAATATTGTTCGAGTTATGTGCGTTTAAAGACGAAAAATTATTCAAAATGTAACGTGTCGACAGCGGATATTTGGCAGATTTTCGGGTAAAAAACTATTTTTTAAAAAAGAACGCGCAAGAATTATGAAAGAAGTGTACTTGATTTGAAAACTTCATTAAAGCAGCTTTAAAATGATATATAATTTTGATTCAAATATTATCTTATATTCCGAAGAATTAAAGTTACATTCATTTGATACCCTGAAAACACAAGTGCGCCAGCTTTTTGCGACGTGTCATTATATTATCCAAGCCAAGAGCTCCTAAAAGTATACGTTAACATGTCATGTAATGTAAATGTCAAATCTCAGGTTTCATCATTTATATTATTCTTTAGTAAATTCATTCTGAGAATGGTATTGGTGGCCATTGATCTCATATATTTCCCCTAATAATGTACTGTGCGTGCAGAGTCTGGTTCGAAACTACACCGAAGACCAGGCTCTCTTTTAAGAAGCGAACCCGAACGAATGCAAAGTGTACTAAATAATAATTTTATTTTATGAACCCATAAATCAATGAATTTATCAGCTCATTGAAAAGAATGAAGACTCAATGCATTGTTGCTGCTTCATTCCACTCAGGCGTTGTATTCTAAACTTTTGAAAACAACACCTTCATGGTATGATTCAGCAAACAATGCACCGAGTCCAGGACTTAAATCCTTAATCCACACATAGCTAGGCGAAGTGTGTCTTATTCCAGCCAATCCGAACACAGTATTTCACATATAGAACAATGTTTAAAATAATCAATAACATATTCAAGGTCACTAGTTAAACAGTTGTCATGGTGATAAATGGACTTTTCACATTGGATTTGATGACTTGCCAACTTGACTCTTGCAAACAATTTCATTGAAAATGTGTTCTTTTTGTGGTTTCGTTCATTGAAGATGATTTTGTAGAAAATATTTTGCAATGTGTGAAAAGAATTTAAGCCCGAGACTCAGTGCATTGTGGCTGCTTCATTTCATTCAGATGTTGGTTCCTAAACTTTACTTTTCCGCTGCGCGGTCATGCAAAGATTTGGAAACATCTTCATGGAATGGCTCAGCACCAATGTACCGAGTCCAAGGCTCAAATCCTTAAATATAGACCCTTGGGTCGTTCGGGGTAAAGAAAATGTTTGTGTCTCGCCCTAAGGTATGTATTCGTCGATATAACACCTTTCTCCTAGGTCTATTACGATTCGAACATAAAAACTCACCAAAATTTACTGTGCTGTGTCGACGAATACACACCGGGTGAAATACTTTGTTCACAGTCTATAGAAGGCGTGAATATAGAGATTATCCTATATGAGGTTCAGGATATTGGGATTATCCCGAGGCCAATATAATATATCTGCCCGAGGGCCGTAGGTCCGACTATAGGATGATCTGTTTATCCCATACCAATTACATTGTTCAATTGTTGCAACCAATCGTGGAATTATTTTAAAATATTTCATGCCCAGTCTTTTATTCTTGTCCGTAACCGGATTTTCCTGTTCAAATATTTGATTATTAACGGGGCATACTGCTCCTTCCCTTCTCTAAAGCATCAAACAGATTGCCGTTGTTTGCGTTTTTCTCCATTGTCGTTTACAGTACATATGCGAACGTTACAAAAAAGAACCAATACGGGAACAGCGATTATGACGTAGCGGGCAGGTATACTATATCTGCCCGCTCGGAGCGGGACGTAAAGCTATATCTGCCCGCTGATGAAAATATATAAGGGTTATGTACTGGGAGGTTTTGGATATGGGGTTTATCCAGAGGGAGATATGCATATCTACCTGAGGGACCGTAC